AGTGTGCTTCACGACTCCGACACGTGTTTTTATTTACCCGCATTTAGTCGCCGCGTGTACTAATTTAGCGTGCTGACTGTTAACGTCTATCTGCACGTAACACAGGCGCGCGCGGGATTATATAATATAGCGAAATAATTATATAATATATAATATAGCACAAAATAGCGAAAAGATAATCTACATCCCCGCCGGCCTTCGTCCGGAATGGCAGAAATATGGCAGAAACAATGGCGCGGTCGAGATGATGGTAACAGAAACACACATTCCGCTTGCATTTAGTCCAACGTAACGGGATTACGACGCGAGCGTTACGAAAAGCGACGCGCTTTTCCGTCATGAAAAAAAGGGAAAAGAAGGGAAGAGCGAGATGCGCGAAACTTGCGGGATATTTTCAACTCGCACAACTCCGTGTTTGTTTCTATCGCGTTTACTTTATAAATCGTCGCTCGACACAATCGTGTCGCCGCGTACAATATTTCACTGTCGTGACTGAAACTGAAACGCGCACTGTCAGACTTGTAGATTATTCCTCCGATCCCATCGACGCGGTATCCCTTGCGCGTTAAATTTTAATGCGATAGGAATATCATCGTTGACCGGAGGTAGACCCGGGGTGGAGTGGGGGGTCGTTATTAAGTAGCGACGTGTAAGAAACGTAAACTTAATCCGGATCAATCGGAAAGCTCTCTCTCTCTCTCTCTCTCTCTCTCTCTCTCTCTCTCTCTCTCTCTCGTTACACGAGCCCCGTCACTCTATCGCTTCTCACGCTTACTGAATTATTCAGAGTGCTTCTAATATTCCCGCTTATTGACAGAGCAATCATTCAGTCAATAATTAAATCGACCGATACGTCGACCGACCGTTTCCAAGATAGAAAGACGAAACGTAAAATGCTCGGGTCTAGATTGGCGTTTTCGCATCTTGTTTTGCGCCGCGTTCCGAGCCGAAATTTCGACGTACCTGAGCTTTTTGGCATCCGTAGGTCCCGGAGGACCAATGGGGATTTGATTTAGAGTAAGTCCGAAATAAATGGGCGTAAGGGATAGATGGTCAATTGCTGTAATTTTAATTCCACTGGTGGTAAATTCCACTGTATTACTCGGATTTGTCGCTTGGCTAATGGCTACTTGGGTGATTGTGATATCTTTAATGATTCACTATGCATTTTTAGGTCCAAATTAATCCGTACTATAACAATGTGTAAAGTGTGACTCTATAACTTATATAAGAGGAAGAGGGAGAGGGGGAGGGAGATGGGGAGATATAAGAAAATTTCTTTTTTTCTCTCTCTTTTTCTCTTATTGCCTTCTTTTTTCTTTCCTTTTTCCTTTCTTTCTATCTCTGTTCCTTTTTCTCTATATATTTCTTTATATATTCTATTTCGTACTTTCTTTCACTTTTTATTGTATGCGAAGTTTCTTACTCGTTTATTACTATATCAATCTTATACATGTAAGGGATCAGACTCGTATGTTATTAATAAATAAATAAATTTTGTTAATAATTTTGTTACGTTATGCGTCAGCGCTGATCGGTCAGTTGTGAGTTGGATGTACCACGAGTAAGTGTGTCTCTTCCTGATGCACGAAAACATTGTTATTGTGAGTATATAAATGTTTTATGTTTCTTTTAACCTCCAAAATGTTTCACACGTCGGAAAAATACGAATACGAAAAATTGCGAATACGGTTTGCTTTTTGTATTACAATATTAGACTTGGGTTTAAACGACTAAAAAAACATCGTATTTGCGTGCTTAACCTCAAAATTCGTCACCGAGACTACGTTTCACGCGGTATACGCATCTTTACGCGAATGCTCCAAACGGGACAGATGGTTCATTTTTATCAGGGTTAGGTGGGCAGCCTAATCAGCGAGAAAAAGCAAGCAATGGACATCGGACATCGACGTTTTCTAAATGCTCCAGACGCATAAAAAACGTCGATCCGATATCTATTCGATTATCATTTTTCGCTGGATACCTAACGTTAAAAACTTTAGTACATTTTAAACAGCTTCTTGTCTCGTTTAAAGATGCCGAATAGATTTCTTTCTCTTTTCTCTCTTTAATAAACAATGTTTTCCCATAGGGCCTTCTTCTGTTTCTTGCCACTTTTCAATGCCCTCTCTCCAATGTTGTCCTTGGTTTCTATAAGAGACTTGTGGAAATGTTTTATTTTATTAATAATTAATAAAAGGATTGATAGAAAGGCTAACAATTAATAAAAGGATGTAAAATACTAAAAGAATAAATAAAGATAAACAAATTTCTACATTATTATAGGCATGCCCAACTATTCCTTCACATATCACCATCTAGCGCGTATACACCTGACCATCTATCCCTCATAAAATATTTTTAATATTTCGTTATTATTGGCGTCCCACTTTGAACTTTTTTTCATAAAAATTCTTTTGTACTGTAAACATTATCTTCTACTGAGTGTGCTAATATGTTGTTGATCATTTATTGCAATAATACAGATGTGTTATTTCCAATTTAAAAAACCACGCCCATCCATCCTGGATTTATCCTACACAGAAACTAAAGTCCTTGCCTCTAACAAGGAACATCCGCAAAGTGTGTACATATTATATATTTCCGATTTCGATGAAACTTGGCATATTTGTAGAATATGCCAAAAATAAGAGACCCATATTTTTTTTATCGGTAATATATTCGGCTCAGATTTAAAGGGTGAAATTGCCCATCAAAGTTTCATCCCCTTTATGCTATCTCGATAATTATTGCAGATAGGAAAAAACTTTTTAAACAGAAACTGTACGGCATAAAAAACTCTACAATTTTTGTTTAAAAAGTTTTTTCCTATCTGCAATAATTATCGAGATGGCATAAAGGGGATGAACCCTAACCTTGAGGGACAGTTTCACCCATTAAACCTGAGCCATTGCCGATAAAAAAAGAGTATGGGTCTCTTATTCTTGGTTACTCTACAAATATGCCAAGTTTCGTCGAAATCGGCGACATACACTTCGCGGATTTTCCTTGTGGAAGTGGCAGAAAACGCACAATTCGGCTCGGCAAAGTTGCTAAGAGGTGAAACGCAACGAAACACAGTCAAACTAGCAGGATCGAAATTTCGACTCGGGTTCAGGTTCGCTGCGTTTCCCCGTGACGCCTCCTGCGGCGTGTCCGGCGCGCTCAGCGTCACAAATCGCAGATCGAGCACTCGCCGCGAGCGAGCCGGAACGGCTCGGACGCGGCGGATGCAAAGCGCTCCGTATTATTTCTAAATTCCGCCGGCACCTACCGCGTGCCTCTCGGCACTTGGCAATTTCCCGGCGAAATTACACCACGTAACGCTTCTGCAAATAAACTCACCCACTAACCGTCCATCCCCGTGCCTGCCCTGTGCACGCACACAGGATAACGAACGGGCTTTATACGCGGTAAGTGCACTCGAGCGCAGGCGCGAGGCAGCGCGCGGCAGGAAATATTTTTCATTAATCTGATTATTTATCGCCCGTCGAGCCCCTGGGAGCGTTTCCCGCCGCCCCCTCGCCCTCGTTCTCCTTTTCCTGCCCGCTGCTCGCGTTTCCTTCTCCTTCCTCATCCGCGTCTCCCTTTAACACGTCGTAATCCGCGCCGAGCGACTCGTTCTACCGTGGTTAGGCGGTAAACGGAGAAACGTAGTAGAAGGAAACGCGGCAGGGTGGGGGTGGGGGGGGAGTTGGGCCGCGTGGCGGAAGGATAAAAGAGAGACGAAGCGAGAGGGGAGAGCTCGCGAGAGGTCCGACGAGAGCGAGAGCGAAGCAGCCGCCGCGCTGCCGAGGCCGTAATAAATTTCGACGAAAGGAGATGCGAACGGTGAAATACAGTCGCGGAATGCGTAAATCACGGAACGATAATGCCGGATGTCGCGAGGCCGCCGCTGCGTTTACGAGTCGAGCACTTAAGCGACGAAAGAGCGGCGGCGCTTGTCGCGAAGCCGCGACGAACGCTCGGAATTGTCGCGACGGCGCGGCGGCTGCGGAATTCGTCGCATTTTATGGCGCTCGGTACCCGTTCAACCCGTTGCGACACGCGTTAACCTTGACGGGTTAACCTATACCCTTTCGCGCGAGCGGAAGATCGTCAGGCTTCGCGGAGAGCGCATATTTCTTTGGACGTCGATCGCGTCGCACAATTATGGCCACGTAATTTGCAACATAATGTTATACCAATATCTATCATTTTAATTTCACGGAACGAATTAATATCGAATTAATATCGACGTTGAAAACAGGAAAACAGGAAAGCCATTATTATATTACTCCTCTTCTCAATAGTATTTTATATCATAAAGTATCATGGTCCCTTCCTTTCCCCCTCTATTCCCGTCGTCGTAGATCAATTTCCACTTCAAGACAATCTACACTTTCCACCGCGGCAATCGAATTCTGCTAATCGATCTTTTTCTCGGCCGCTTTGCGTTTGTCTCAGCTCGCCTACGGAACTACGGTCTAGTGCTGCGATTCTGTAACTCGTTATTGGAGTTAACGACAGTTTCGTTATTGTTGCGCAGCTTTTCTACGGTATACAAAAGCTGCGCAACGATAACGAAAGTATCGTTAACTCCAATAACGAGTTACAGAATCGCGGTATAGGAACGATATTTATCGATCGCCGCATCGAGCCGCGCCGTCGCGTCGATCAGCTCTCGGCGTGCGAATGCCGTCGCTGGCTTCAGCTGAATAAGTTACGTGACGCAGCCGAGTATTCATGTGCGTATTTACTCGCATTACGCATGGTGTAATAAGAAAAGTGAGCTATTCCCGAGGATGCGAAAGTGGTTCAAAATAGCGTCTGCTCTTTAACCAATCAAGATTTGCCCACGAACGCTAAAAAGCAAGATGGCTTCTTTCATGCGTGCCTGTTAGGTTATTGGCGTTGTACGATATTTTTATTTAGTTTGGTGAAACAATGCCATCGTGTAGTGTTAAGTACTGCACTAGTCGTACGTCTTACAACAAGATAAGAAATATTACATTTTATAGATTTCCAAAGGAAGACGTTATTCGTCAACAATGGCTTGATGTCTTACAAAGGAAGGACATAAAAGTTGATACAGGTTAGTTAATATAATTAATACATTTTTTAATTTGCATACATATAGAATACATGTATTATGTATACACATATATATATGTGTATGTATTATGTATACACATATATAAACTATACATATTAAATATATATTAAAATATATATATTTTGACATAATTGTAGCAATGATGTGTAGTAATCATTTTGATGCTGATTGTTTCGTAATGGAGTGGACAAAACCTAGATTGAAAAATGTACCTGCCAAAGAAGTGAAACGATTAAAAAAAGAATTCCATTCCAACAAAAATGTTTAATCTTGAAAAGAAAAATAAGATAATACCAGAGGACAAAAATAAAATATTGTAAGTATATTTTACATTAGTAAAATATGAGGTCAAGGATAGCATGTTGGGATTTTCGCATGCATACGCACATATCATGTACAAATAAAATATCTCTTCATATTCTTTAAGAATAAGGACTGGAATACCAACGTATACAGATCTTGTTAAATATGTACAAGAAAAACAGTATTTGCCACATACAGAAATTGCACAGCATATAGATAATACTAACAATATTGAAGAAGTAAACGACATTACGGAAGAAACTGTGCAACATATGATATATTCTATTCCTAAAGAAGTGGTTGCGTGTCTCGTGCGTACTAGAACATACATAACGTTTACGAGAAATGAATAGAAGTATTGTTCTAAATAACACATTGAAGAAAAAAGCGAACAAAATTAATAAATTAGGCAACAAAGAAAATGTATTTACACAAATAAAATAATACATGTTATGTACAATATGCATTTATTGTATTTTATAAATATTTTTACATATTAATCTTCATATATATTTTTATACTGTTATTTATTTTTATTTGCTATCATTACGACATTACGTGTTTTAGAACAGAGTGTCCATAGTTCGGTCTTACAAGTACTGCGTTTGAATCTCGCGCAACATTTGTGGGCAAAATTTGATTGGCTGTTCCGTAGTATCAACCGCCATTATGCGTAATGGCTCACCTTTCTTATTACACCATGGCGTTACGCGTGTTACGCCACGGACCTACCCCCACTCCCGCGCCGCCGTCGGTTGATCGCTTGAGCACGCGTCGCTGGCGCGACTCGCGCATGCGCGCTGCGACCAGCAGAGAACCGCGTGCAAAACGGCGCGGCGCGGCGCGCTAGCATTCGCCGATGATCCACGTGCGGTCGAGAATATTGGACTTCCTCGAGGACCCGTAACTCGTGAACGAGTCGGCGTAAGGACGAAGGACACGAGACGAAGAGCGAGCTCTTCAACACGGCGCGCGGCCTGCTCGTGTCCCTCATTCGCCGGCGACTCGAAGGACGATCGCGGTCGACGCGATGAATCGAGAGACACAACACGTATGTCGTGCGTCGGATTCTTCTCCGCATTCTTTCAGTTACGTGAATTTATGAGTCGTTCATTGTCGACTCATAAATTACACAGGCCGACAAAATTTTACGAAACTCCAGACTCTGAGACCAGACTATACTTTCCCGAAGGTTTTCGGTCCGCTGAATCCGAATCCGGCAGCGGAATTGCTCCATCACATCAGGTTTTCGAGATATCCTAATCTGAAAGTGCAAAAAACACAGTTTTTCGCTATATTCGGGGTTATATTACAACGTGAATTAATTTTTCTCTACAAAACTCGTTACAGTATCTGAAAGTACTACTCTTCGCCTTCAAAATGCATTTTGAATTTTTCATATATCTTATTTCTTCTCGGAGATATCGTCCGTTGAAATTTTTTAGTTTGGCGTTTTCGTTACTACCTTACAAAAAAAAAAGAAGTTAATCCGGCAGGTGAAAGTTGTGTAATTAAATGTTTCTTGGGACGCTGAATCCGAATTCGTTGTCGGTTCAGCCCCATGACCATCGGGTCATGGTTTGTCCCTAACTTCAAAAAAGATTTTCGAATTCGCCTTTTTTTTTTGACCCAAAAAACATATGATTACACAACTTTCACCTGCCGGATTAACTTCTTCTTTTTTTGTAAGGTAGTAACGAAAACGCCAAACTAAAAAATTTCAACGGACGATATCTCCGAGAAGAAATAAGATATATGAAAAATTCAAAATGCATTTTGAAGGCGAAGAGTAGTACTTTCAGATACTGTAACGAGTTTTGTAGAGAAAAATTAATTCACGTTGTAATATAACCCCGAATATAGCGAAAAACTGTGTTTTTTGCACTTTCAGATTAGGATATCTCGAAAACCTGATGTGATGGAGCAATTCCGCTGCCGGATTCGGATTCAGCGGACCGAAAACCTTCGGGAAAGTATAGTCTTGTCTCAGGGTTTTAAAAATGTCGGCCTGTGTTATCATCGTAGATCAAAAGCAAAAGAAAGATCTCGCGAACTGAACATTTCTCGCGCACGTACGATCGCACGATTGGCGCCTTGAATTCGGGTAAAATTTTAGAATAGGGCCTTTTCCGAATTTTGATATATTTTTGCTACTTGCTGGATGAAAATCTTTGTTGTGACTACGACAATGATAATCAATGGGGGGAGGCCGAAAAAAATGTTACCGACCTATTTTTTTCAAGTTTTTTCGGATCTTATAAAGATCCTCTGAAGGCAAAATGCACCAAATTTAAACTCTTGAGTAAAAGTATAAAAGACTCAATGAACTTTAATAAAGCAAAGACATAAACTATTCTCCGCTATAATTTAGACTTTATAATATAAATTTGTGCTTTTGATTAAAGCAGAGCATGATTGTGAATAATGCTCTGCTTTATTCTGCTTGTAATTTATGATACCTACCTTGCGTAGGGGTCTTGCTAATCTTTTCAGTATTTTTAGTATATCGTAGATTTTAGTATATCGTAGATTCATCTGTTTAGTAAGGTGAAAGATTCGAGTAACAACTGTGAACGGGATTTAATCAATATAAAATCGATATTTAAAATTTTAAATATATGGAATAAAATTTTCATGTTTTTTCCTATAAAGATCTTAGCTCCCCTCCCCCTCCCTTAATATATATATATATGTAAAACTTTGTATACATGTTTGTTTACAGCTAGTTTTGTAAATTATTGAACTAGGAAATTATTTTGTAAATTATTGAACTAGGAAACGTAGTTTTTGGTATAATAATACTTCTGAATATTTGCCAAAAAAATCGTTCAAAAAATAAGTAGGTAACATTTTTTTCGGGCTCCCCCCATTGATTATCATTGTCGGAGTCACAGCAAAGATTTTTATCCAGCAAGTAGCAAAAATATATTAAAATTCGGAAAAGGCTCTATTCTAAAGTTTTACCTCAATTCGCTATTGTTCCGTCGTTCGACGACGAATGTCTCGTCGGCACGTATCGCCTCCCGCTTATATTTTCAATAGCAGCAGCGAATTCTCATCGCACGATAGACAGTGAAGATGCACTTTTTCGGCACTCGCGCGTCAAATACGAGTGCGAAGAACGCGGAGCAAGAAGTCAGTCGGGAATGTCGAGGAGATAAAAGCGTCGGCGGAGAGAGAAGGAACCGGAGAGGCGTCTCGGAGAGCGGAGAGTTCGAAAACGCGCGATCGCGACGGCAGTCACCTTTTTTTTTCAATCTCCGCTTCCTTTTCCCTTACATTTCCCGGCCGCTCACTGTTAGCGGCAGAAATCGCTCCGCTTCCGGAAATCCGATCGCTCTCAAGCTCGATTCTTTCGTGATTTCGTCACCATCCTGTGTGTTCTCCTCCGTCGACCGTCGGTCGTTCTTCTGCCCGCTCGTTAGCGGATTTTGACTCCCGCGTGATTGAAAGACGACGATTTATCAAGAAACAACCGCGCGTGTCTCTCTCTGTCACTCTCTCATCCCCCCCCCCTCCGAGCTTCGGAAATCGCCTCCGCGGTTTCCTCGCGAACGCACCTCACATTCGGCCACGTCGTTCAGCAGCGGTGAAACGAGACTCTGTTTTAATTTCGCTGGCATGGCGATATGTAAAATCGAGAAAAAAAAAGAAGGCAGCGCGGAGGAGCGAGAGAAAAGAGAGGGGGGGAGAGAAAGAGAGAGAGAGAGAGAGAGAGAGAGAGAGAGAGAGAGAGAGAGAGAGAGAGCAAAATTCAGACAAAAATATTCCCCCGGATCGCAGGCGTAATCCACGCCGCTGCTGCCGGATTACAAATGTAATCCAAGCGGGATTAACTACCGCTGCTTGTTTAACGAGAAGTCGCTGAAGACTGCACACGGCTCGCCTCGCATCTTATTCCCGGCTGCCATTGTTCTTTACGGGCGCGTACGCGCGACGTTTCCACTCGTAACACATGGTCTATTAGGACTAATAATAGTCGTCCGCGCGTCTTCCCAGACGCGGAGAGCGACCTCCCCCCCCTTCCCTCGCCCTCTTCGTCGAGCGCTTTCGTTTCACGGTTCGTCCTGAACGTCTCCGTGGAACGTCGCGTCGCGTCGTCTCGAAAAAGGAGCGCCGCGAGAAACAAAGAGCGCGTATCTGGCGGCCGGCGAGCGAGACGACGGCCGAAATGACCGTGGCGTTACCGTGAACTTTGCCCGCGAGGCTCCCCTCCCCCCTCATTCCTGCGGATTTTCCGCGAACGAACTTTCGCGATAACCGCGTGCCGTGTCTCTCGCATTTGCATTCGTAATCGTGGACACGCGCATATACGGGATGTTTAGAAAAGAGGGCGCAGGTAAGTGTACTCGGAAAAATGGAGGAAAAAAGTCCTAACAAACGTGGTCGAAAAATTAATGTCGTCGGAGTTGAGAACAATTATTCATTTTAATTGAAGCGGGTGAGACCTACTCGCGCTTCTGCTTATTTTAATTGTTCGTAACCCTTGCAATAGTAATTCCTCGATCCGTGTCTGTCAGGCCTCTTTTCCTCCACTTTGTGAGTATTATCTATCTTTGAAGTCCTGAAATTTTTTTTTTAACACCCTGTATATTTGACGTGAGATTCTCATTAGATATCGGCGGCGGTGGAGCGAAGACCGCGGCGTCTCGGCGAGGTCGACTTTCGTCGGCGAACGAGCACGCGGATACGCGAGACTCATTTCATCATCGTTATATGCAACGCGAGGAAGCGACACGGCGGCCGATTTTTCGCGCGATTTTGTCCCGGTCGTGTCTCGTCATCGATCGACACCGGGATTTTTTTTTTTTTTTTTATTATTTCGCGCTACCGGGAAAATAAAGACGATTTAATTAATCAGCGCTCGCGCGGCGAAAATAAAAGAGAGCCCACGGTATATTACGCGCCTCTCTCGCGCGTACAAATAGCGCGCGATAATGTGATAATAACGTAACGGATAAAGCCGCGCCACGTCGGATCACGTCGCTTCGGCAT